TATATATATATATTAAAAAAAAATGTAGTGAAGGAGGGAGTTACACATCTGATGATACAGAGTGGCTCCCTTTCCACGATAATACTGCTCAGGAGCTGTAAATGTAAGTCAAGGCTTTAGATTGTGATGAAGCTACACAGTGGTGAGTTCAGGGACAGGGTTTCAGAATCTTATACACTTTATTATAGAGTTTACCAACTGATTCAATAAGTTATGTGATGGAAAGAGACCAAATTGGCAGACAACAGGATTAAAAAAAGACTGTATGAAGATAGGTATTTAAAGAAATGTGTGAATGGAGTAGCCCGATCCAAAATCTTTTAGTATGTGACCTGATCAGACTGTTAATAATAAATAAAAATACTTTTTTTACCTGTTAAGATACAGCTTATGTTACATGATTTGATAAATAAGAGTGAAGACACAGTGCACAGTTCATCACATCAATGCTTGGGTCAGACTAGTAGATTACTGTGTCATCAGCATAAAGAAGATATAAAATGTTTACATAGGCAGGGTCATGTAAAGCAGAAAGAGTAGTGTAGCCCGACTATGCTTTTCTAGGGTATGCCAGTATCAAAACCAGAAGAGAAAGAGGTTATATGGCAAGTTGTTACCACCTGGGGTCTGTTAAATAAATAAATAAATAAATAGGGACAATCTTGAACTTGAACTTGAAGGGGAAAATCTAAGTGTGTGCCATTTATCAAGTACAAAGTAATTATTCAGTGTCAATTGCCTTGCGAAGACCAGAAAAGGAGGTGCGTATTTGTTTAGTAAGAAATATATACAGCTGACATAGAAACCTGACCGTTCATTTACTTGATTATTAAGTTTATTTGTGTTTTACCTTCGATTTAACCCGTAGAATAAAAAATAAAACATAAAATTAAACTGGAAGCCAAGAATATTATTTTATATTATATATTATAAAAACAAGAACCAGCAAATACAATTCACTCTTAATTCCACATTTTTCTAAATCTCTCCCATCTAGTGAGTTATTCATTATTGAATGGTAGTTTGTTAAACTTATCAATAAGAAATGTGTGCATACAACTCTCATAGAAAATGAAAGGGAGTTGACAGATTCACCCATCTTGCAGCTTTCTGTTTGTTTCTGCCCTCAGTTACTCACATTCACACCTGAAAATTGCTCAGTACAACCACAGTCTGATCACCACTGAGCAGCTCCACTGGAGCAGTTTGGGGGTTAGGAGTTGTGCTCAAGGGCACTTTAGTCTGTGCCACCACTAAGGGAATGAGGGAGCGGCACTTTCGCTAACCACAACTGCTACTGAATGTGAATGGTAAGTACAGCCTTCAATTTATGGGAAATACTTACCGTTTTAAATATTTTATGTTTACAGCATCATACATGCATTGTACAGAAACAACATCCACATTCAACATCAGGCAGGTCAAGGTTATTTTAAGCAGGTTTGTCAGGAAACCATTTGAGATATATGATTGAATGGAGACCTGCGATAGCTTGAGCAGCTTTCCAGTCAACCTTTGAAAACCGAATGAAGTATTTCCTTGGAAGCAGACTAACTGTCTTAGCGAGCCTATTGAGATCCTTCCTTGTCACCGACAGAGCAAGACCATGTGTACTCAGTCACTTCCTCATGCACGAGTGGCGAGATCCTCCAGCCACATTCATGCATTTTTCATGTGACCTTTTAACATTGCGTGAACAAAGATGATGGCAGAAGAGAGCAACAGGAGTTAGCATCTACACATACAATAGCAAAAGGTCTTCTGCAGCCTTCTTCACCCATCTGATTCCCAGATATGAAAACAGGTTTCTCATGAATTTTTGTATATTGCAGACCCACTGTACAAGCTAAACTGTGTAATCAGTATGAGGTTAACATGCATTTTTAATAGGTAATATGGTTTAAGATCTCAATATGGGACCACCAAAAAGGCAACTCCTGCTCTGGTCATCATGACCTCAGGTGAGGGAGACGTGACTGCTGATATGACTGTTTTCTGAAACCACATGTCTTATCTTACTTGAGGCTTGATGACTCAGAACAAAAATACTGCTGCCACTGGTATCCTGTGTCATTTATTTTAGTCATTCACTCATTTAATGGCATGTATTTTAAGTTTGCCTACTAGTAAAATGTGCATTTATAATAAATAAAATAAGCATAAAGAAGCATTTTCTCTACGTCTAGCCATTCATCAATGATGACACATTTGTAAGCTTTGCACAACAAAGTCATGGTTCTGTTTATGTTCCGTGGACTGCATTTATGATGGACAGGTTTAAATGTTTGGAAGAGAGGGATAACAATAGCAAAGTGAATGAAATATTTGGATAATAATATGCTCTAAATTTGCGGTGTTTATGAGTAAAGTGGCTGCTGTGCCACTAACAGATCAGTTTGCAAGGTTCTCTTGCGCTATAACATGACAAGTTAACCTTATGTCAGTCGTTCTAAGATAAAGCAACTTCACAGCTATTAGCCCTTGTCAGTGTGGCTCTGTCTTTTTTTTGAAAATGCACACTCAGTCCCAGCATATAGTTTGACAGGTGCTTCAATAAAACTCTGTAGTCCATTTTATTCACCTTAACTAATAAAAGTGTATTATTTAGGAGGATCCATTGGCAGGAATGGAATATATATATACATACAAGAATGTTTTTGTTACCTTAGAATGACTCTGGCTGCCTTGTTGAACCATCATGTTTCTACGGTAGCTTAGCACGGACAAATCAAACAATGGCTGTAGGTAGGGCCTTTTACAAGTGTTATGGTCACCATTCTCCTACCTAATTGGAAGGGGAGGGTGAGGCAGGGTGGTTGTAATCTATAACCTCACTGCTACATGCCACTTAATCCTACACACTAGTCCTTAAACTGAAAAGCTTTCTTCAAATCATGGTAACACACTAAACTCTAAACCCTAACACCTTAAACTAAAGCACAGACAACTTGTTAAACATTTTAACCAATGCAGTCATTAGTGGCCCATATTAAGCTGCGTATCTTTAAAGACAGCACAATTTAATAATATCTCTATTTTTTTTACTAATATTTCTGGTTTCTTACAGCAGCAGCAGTGCCTGAATTTGTTTTAACACTAGCGTTATCATTAGCTGGCAATGGCTAGCGGCGATCAGACTGTCTTCTTCCTGTAAAAATGAAGCAAGTCTCTAATCTTAAATGTACGCTATGCACTTTCAAATGCTTCATTAAATCTGATGTCTCACCCATCTTTGAAGCAACTAGGAATCTGTGAACATAGATTGAGTCACTGCTTTCAGCACATGGACTTCCATCTGGAGGAAAAGGCTTGTTGATTTTAGTGTATGCCTACCATGTGCAAGCTAGACCACAATAGCCACTTAACACTCATTACACAAACTACTGCTCATACTCTCTCCATCCTGTTGTATAACAAAGGACACATTTTTGAGGATCACTGGTGCACCTTAATATCAAGTGTCTGCAGAACTAGTTGTAAAATGTGGCTGCAGACAGGAGCCCTGTAAAGGTACTGCCATTAGCTCCGATGTAGCTGTTGCTCTTTTATAGTTCTATTTAAGTTCAGTTTTAGAACATGTACTTATTTTCTACACAAGATTAGGCATGTTGAAATCAGTATTGTATTGATACCAATAAGCAGTATCGGTATCAATCGACTGACATCCTTCCCTTCTCAGATAGTTCACCAAATTTGAAACTCGCCCCATTTATGTACACGACGACTCCACCTTTCTCAAGATTAACTAGGGGCATTCCAGGAAAGAACACAAATTGGCAGGTCCTCTATTTCAAAACCCACTGAAGACAAAATGGCAAGGGAGCATCTCACCCACGCTGCCAGGGCCCTCCTTTGCTTTGCTGTTGTTATTCACTATCCTGCACAGTGATTGATTTGTTGAAAAATCTATAGTAAAGGCTTTGTTGTTCTCTCCCATCACCTGCGCAATCCCTTTCTGTTACTGCCTCCTCAGTAGCACTCCACCCACCATCTCCAATTTCTATTTTTTTTTTTTTCGTTATGCAAAGTTGCAGTATAAACTGTCTTTTTGGTGAAAGTTTAAAAACTTTTTTACTTCATTGGTTTTAGAACAATTTGCCATTCTGGATTCTAGATAAAGCCTATTTACTCAAACAGCTGGAGGTCAAGCAGTGTTGTGCTGATGATGATGTTGTTGTTGCCTCAAAAGCTAGTTGCTAACTTTGTCTGCACTTTTTGGGGTTGCAAAGATAGCATACAGCCAGTTTATCAGAGATTTTTTTGTGTGAAAACAGCTCCCTTCCGCTGCTGGAACTGGTGAGACTCAACCAAACTGTAAAAATGTGCAGTCAAGGAGCTAAGGAGACGTTTGTGTTTCCTTTATGCTTTTATATACAA